ACTGGTCGGGGTGTGGGAAGTTACAAAAGACATCTGTGAAGCAGCTATTAGGTTCCGCTATTTTCACAACCATGGACTCTTTACAACTTACCTTCTTTCCCTTCTTGCACACTCCTCCGTAAACTCCATGTTTTTAAATCTGTTAATTTTTCCCATCCCAGTTTAGGGCCAGATATTAATCAATGAACCATCATAAAAAACATATAATGCTGTTTTGAATTGCATACTATTATTAAGATGGTAGGGGTGATAATAAACAGTTAAGAAAATGATTACAAACACATGGATAGTCTGCATCTTTACCTAAATCACCTGGCTTCTGTAAGGGACACCTGTATGTGGGAATTCTGTGATGAACATGTGGCTTTTGATGTTATCTGGCTCTCTAGTCACAGCACAGAAATGCCTGTTTTCTATAGTGTAACAGAACCACTAACCAGCATGATATCACTAGTACTGCCAATTGACTTAATATAGTTCCAGCCAAAAGCAAAGAGCACTGACATTCTAGCTAATGCGTATGGGCTTATTATGGATAAATAATACTATTCTATTAGGATCTTGGAAATATTGACAAACATGTCACAGAATTCCATTAATTTGTCTGAGGTTTCTTAGGTGTTAGCAAACCAGTTTGGAGACTTCTGGCAGCATCTTGCATATTGTAATTGGAAAATACAGGACTTACTATTAACAGGGTAATGTAGGATAGGGGTATATTAGAGCCTCTGTAGGCCACCAGGTCTTATGCCTTTATGGACCCCCTTTGCGATTAAAAAAAGTTGTCTTATAACTTTGTTGCTATAAAAATGAATTTATAGATATATTAAACACTTTCTCCAACCTAAATGTTCACTTTTAACTTCTGTATTTAATAGAACTTTATAGTTTCATGGGTCCCTAGAAGTGTCACAGACACCAAGTACAATACCCACTGGGTAAGCTACCTCTGAGGACATGGTACTTAGTGAAGTTCTAGGTGGAATATGATGGTTAGTGTATCTGGTAATGACAAGGAGAGCCATTCAGCAGTGTCTAGGAAGGAAGCCATTCAGTGTCACAGTGGCAAACAGCAGGGGAGAGCTTCAGAAGTAAATGGTATTTGGGATGAATGTTGGAGATGAGAATAATTTGGATGGGCAGAGATGTCTCAGATTAGGGAGCAGTGAGAGCAAAAGTAGGGAGTAAGAAACAGCCAAAACAATTAGGACCTTATTGAGAAGGTAACCTTATATAAGCTATATATGTGGGAAACAATATGATTTAAAGATGAACAAGAATAAATTAAGAATCAGGGCCACTCTCAATGGTGAAAAGTTAAACGCATTTCCATTAAGATCTGGAACAAGACAAGGATGTCCACTCTCACCATGCTTTTCCACATAATACTGGAAGTCCTAGCCATAGCAATAAAATAAGAGAAAGACATACAAGGAATCCAAATAGGGAAGGAAGCAGTTAAAAAGTTACTATTCGCAGATGATATGATAATATACAGAGAACCCCAAAAACTCCACAGAAAAACTAATCAAACTAATCAATCAGTTTAGTGAAGTAGCAGGATAAAAAATCAACACACAAAAATCAGTAGCCTTCCTAGACACGAACAATAAATCTGAAGAAGAAATTAAGAAAACCATCCCTTTTATTATTGAAACAAAAAAAATCAAATGCTTGGGAATAAACATAACAATAAAGGACCTATACAAAGAAAACTATAAAACACCGTTAAAAGAAATAGAAGACGACACAAAGAAATGGAAAGAAATCCCCTGCTCATGGGTTGGAAGAATTATCAAAATGGCCATCTTACCAAAAGCAATTTATAGATTCAATGCCATTCCAATAAAAATTTCAATGACGTTCTTCAAAGAAACAGAATATTGATGAAATTCATATGGGGCCACCAAAAACCCCAAATAGCCAATGCTCTCCTGAAAAAAAAAGGGGGGGATTGAGGTATCACACTCCCAGACTACAAACTATACTACAGAGCCATAATAATCAAAACTGCATGGTATTGGAACAAGAACAGACACACAGACCAATGGAACCAAATAGAAAATCCAGCAATAAACCCACAGATTTAAGGTCAACTAATCTTTGACAAAGGAGCAAAGAATATGCAATGGAACAAAGAAAGTTTGTTCAATAAATGGTGCTGGGAAAACTGGGTTGCTACATGTGAAAGAATAAAGCTTGACTACTACCTCACACCATGCACGAAAACCAACTCAAAATGTATTAAATTACTAGACATAAGACCTGAAACCATAAAATATATAGAAGGAAATATAGGTGAAACACTACATGACATGCACCTTAGTAACATCTTTAAAGACACATCACCCAAAGCAGTGATAGTGAAGGCAAAGATAAACAGCTGGGAAAACATCAAATTAAAGAGCTTCTGCACAGCAAAAGAGACAGCAACCAAAACAAAGAGACACCCCACCGACTGGGAGAAAATTTTTGCACAGACACTAATGATAAAGGGCTGATCACAAAAATCTACAAAGAGCTGATGAGACAACAAAAAACAAAGAAAATAATCCAGTCAAAAAATGAGCAGAAGAGCTAAAAAGAAACTTCCCCAAAGAGGAAATGCAAATGCCCAACAGGTATATGAAAAAATGTTCAACATCACTTGTATCAGGGAAATGCAAATCAAAACTACAATGAGATACCATCTTACACCAGTAAGAATGGCACATATTGAAAAAACTAATGACAAATGTTGGTGAGGATGCCGAGAAAAAGGAACTCTCCCGCACTGCTGGTGGGAGTGTGAACTGGTCCAACCACTATGGAAAGCTGTGTGGAGATTCCTCAACCTGCTAAAGATGGAGCTTCCATATGATCCAGCAATTCCACTCCTAGGTATTTACCCAAAGGACACAGAAACATTAATTCAGAAAGGCACCTGCACCTCTATGTTTATAGCAGCATTATTTACAATAGCCAAGCTATGGAAACAACCCAAATGCCCCCAAATAGATGACTGGATCAAGAAGATGTGGTACATATACCCAATGGAATATTACTCAGCAATCAAAAAAGATAAACTCATTCAATTTACAGCAACATGAATGGAGCTGGAAGGGATCATGCTCAGTGAAATAAGCCAAAGAAAAAGAAAAATACTGGATGGTCTCACTCATAGCAGGAATTTAGAAAACCTAAATAAGGGACCATGAAAAGAACTATATTTATATTAAAATCAAAATCAACAAGCAGCTATAAACTAGACACACACTATGGGGGGAGGAGGGAGTAGGATCAAAAAAAGGGGGGGTGGGAATTTTATGGGGACTATAACTAAGATGAAAATGCACACATTGTGCAAAAATGAAAAATGATGTAAAAAATATATAAAATTAAAAAATATATATATAAAGATTAAAAAAAAAGAATTGGAGCCACCCCGGTGGCACAAAGGGTTGAGACAGCACTGTGAAGCTGTCCGCAGCCACTGCACCATGAGTTCGACCCCTGGCCAGTGAGCTGACCCACATGGCACAGCAGACCTCTGCTGTCTCACCCCTTGGTCCCCCAAGCAGTGTATTTCAGTATATCTGCCTGTTCTCCTCTCCGTTCTGTCTCTGGTGCATTCTCTCACCCCCTGCATCTCTGGCCTGCACCCCAGCTCTTGTATGCATAATAGATGAATAAATATTTTTTTTAAATAAATCATCTTATAAAGTTATTTATATAAATCTGTGACTTCATGCATGAGTTAATAAAGTTGACAAATGACATTACAAAAGTGGTGCTTCAAAATTCATTTGCTTCCAAAAATTGGTATTGAACACCTAGAATGCAACAAGCCTGTACACACTGACATAAATTCCTTCTGAAGTTTAAAAAGTATAAGAGGAATTTAAAAGCAAAGAAACTACAAGAGGCACATCTTAAGGATACTGTTAGAGATCCTTACACATGAAATAAGGATATGAACTCAGGTGGTTTGTGTGTTGGGACTGGGAATGCTACTGCAGATGAAACCAGAGTCAGACTAAATAAAATGCCAGGGATGACATGAGCTTTAGACTCAAATGAGCTTCCATGGGCTTGAGCTGCGTAAAGGTGACTACAGGTCAGAGCAGTCAGGGAATCCCTAAGCACTTTCTCTTATTATGGCACAGGAATAGGAAAAGTCAGACCTGGACCCAGAGAAAGTCCTCCTGTGCACACTTCAGGATTTCTACACCATCATCAGCTTTCCTAAACCCTAATGCTAAATAGCCCCTGCTCCAATTTTAGTTTTCCTCTCTGCTGCAACCTTTCAACCTCCTGACCCCCAATTATTGAATAAGCTACTAATTATTGAAAAGTACCTCTTTGCCTAGCATATTAGGTATTTTATATGCCTGCCTCTTTTTCTTTTTTTAAAGATTTATTTATTTATGCACATAAGAACCGGGGCACAGGCCAGAGGTGGAGGGGGTGGCAATAAGAAGATTCACCAGAGACAGAGTGGGGAACAGAGCAGGCAGATCAACAGACATATACTGCTGAGGGGAGCAGTGGGAGAGGCAGGAGAGGTCTGCTGCGCCATGTGGGTATCTCCCTGGCCAGGGATCGAATGTGTGCTGCAGCGGTTGCGGATTGCTTCATAAGTTAAGTCTTAACCTCCTGCACCCCAGGGAGGCCCCTGCCTGACTCTCTATGTTTTAATCTTTATAGTGGCTGGATGAAAGTGAGGCCATCTTCATTCAATAGGCTACAAAACTGATGACAAAAATAGCTAATTAATAGCTTTTTTGAGGTTGGTTAGCTTGTGTGAGTCAGGAATGTGACCCAAATCAGTGTCAACCAAAGCCACCAAAGAATCCCCTCAAATAATGTTAACTCAGTATCATTTCAGTGTAACTTTGATAAGAAAAAAAATAACTCATCTCAGGTTGGACAAAATGACACTATTTGAGTAAACTGGGGTTAGAGAGCATGCCCAGAGTCTGAGGACCCCAGTCAGGCTCTTTCTTGGTTCTTGTCTCTGGCAAGGAAAGAATTCAATATCGAAACCAAAGTTACAGAAAACCAAGAGATTTATTGAGAACTAGGAAGAACATGAAAGCACTCTGAACAAAGGGGTCCCGAATGGGTAGCCACTGAGGGGGTATGAAGCAGGTGCTTATGGTGAGCAAAGTGTGAGGGTTTGGCCTGTGCTGTGCCTCTTTCTGATTGGCAAGGGTCTCTTAGGCTACCAAGGGGCCACTGAGTTTGTGAGCTTCTCCTATTTTGCCCACATTACCTTGCCTACCCTTCTCAAACGTACTAGCCTTGGTCTGTTGCTTGAGCCCTGTGTTATTATTGTGCTACTGAGTAGGAATTTTGAATATGCCATTTTTTAATTGAGTTGAAGGGGGACTACCTTCTTGGTCTGTGCCTGCTTCCCAGTGAGGCTAATAAATGACTTGGGGCACCCTGTTCCTAACTGCCTGCCTATATCCATTTCCTACCTTCTTCCCTTCATCCCCCGCTTCAGAGTTGTAACCCCAACTGCCATTAGGGGAAGTGGGCGATGACCGATCTGGCTACTTCCTGCTGAGAGGGGGCGAAGGATGTGCAGTCAGGGATAACACCCAGAAGGGGGTCTATCCAAGGTGCCCTGGTAGAAATCAGTGGGGACGGTCAAAGGTGGGTCCATCTGGACCACCACCTGGAGCTTGACCAAGTTTGCAGCCTGGAAGAAACAAATTTGAAGATAAGATTTAAGCGACATGGACCAAAAATGAGAAGCGGCAGGATAGCTAGTAATGGTCCCAAGAGCGGGAGGAACCAAGCAGTGAAGGGAATGCACCCCTTCATCTGGTCCCAGAGTTGGGTGGCAGATGTTTCCTTAAGGTTGTGGAGCCATGAAGCCTTGTCATACAGGGTGAGGATGTCCTCTTTCACTGGTGAGCTGGAGTTGAAGGCACAATAAGATTTATTAACAACAACAAAGACCCCGCCTTGCTCTGCAAAATTATGGGGCAGTGGGAGAGGTGCATTCAAACAGTGTGACACAAAAAGAGTGGCTATAACGAGAAGAAACACATGGGGCGGGTCTGGACTGGCCTCGCCAGATGTCTACAGAACAGGAATCTCAAATCCTCAAGAGTCTCACAGCTGTACTGAGAAGGAGGGGCTGTAGCTGGCTGTGAAGCAGGCACAAGTTTCCAGGCCTTTACACCCAAGTGATGAATCCTGGACTCTTGGCCTTCCCACTTTACAGTGGCAAGGGTGGCAAGGATGACTGGGTGAGGTCTGGACCAGGACATCCTGCCCAGGAGTGGGGTGGGGTAGTCAGGCATGACCACAAAGGATCGGGAGAGGAGGTGGGAGTCCCAGGAGCTGCTTAGGGGCTCAGTAAAATGATGGAGTAGAGATCCCAGACACACCCTGTACTGCGCAGTGGCAGTTTCAGAGAACAGACCACAGTGGGAGATAAGAACAGAGTAGGTGGCCCCAGTGTCTAATAATAATTGATATCCAATCCCCTCAACCCCCGAAAGAACCCAAGGTTCCTAAATGGCAATTGTGGCTGTTCCAACAGGAATGAGGCAAGCCCTCAATCCCTCTGGACCAACTGGGAGGCCTGAACTGATCCCTGAGGCCTTCATCTCAGGGGTACCCTGGTTTCCAGTGGCTGCCCTTGTAGTCTGGGCCCAGTTTATTATGAAGACAATCCTTTTAAAGTGATCTTGTTTGCCACAACCAAAATAGGCAGCTGTTGGGGGTTCTTTTCTGGGGAGCAGAAGTGGAAAGCCCGCAAAGTGGCCCCTAGGGCAGTAACCTTACTTTCTCATCTCTTGCTGGGGAGCCGCCTCCTGATCGCTACTGTGATAGACAGAATTGGCCACCTTTATGAGCTTCTCCAGCGTGGGGTCTGGGTCCAAAGCTGGTCTTCGTAACTTCCTCCTAGTGTTGGGGGCAGACTGAGAGATGAATTTAGCTTTTAGAATTAGTTCCCGGATATCACTTTCTATGTTGGACTAAAGCCTCTCTCAGGTATTCCAGGGACAAAGATGGATTTGAACTGGGTCCCTGAACTACAGCAGACAGCTTGGAATAATTTATTGGTTTGGACCAGGTAGCCCATAACCCTTCAGTAATGCAGATATTTGTCTGGGTTTTGCGAAATCTTCCCCAAAGTTTCCCTAATTTTCTTGAGGTCTTTCAGGGGAAAGGGGACATGGTGGGTCCCCAGCTACCATTTGGCGTCTTCTGGAAAGCACAGAGATTAGCACCTGGAGGGTTTTACAGGGGCCCAGGGTAGAGAGGATGGAAGGTGAGGAGGGATAAAGGGCTTGAGGGGGCCCCTTAGGAGGCACTTTGAGGTAGGCTTTGGATGCTCTTCAGAATCTGAGCAATCGGGTTGTTGTTTTCCCTTGCAGGGACAGGAGACCGTGGTCAAAAGGGTCACGTCTATTTTACATGAATGACATAAATCCTGATTTTCATGTAAGGCAAAGAACACCTGGACATATGGGACTCTGACTTGTCATGAAAACACTTTAACTGAAGACAGTATTGTAACTGATAAACCCCTCTGGGGGCCAGCACTCCCCACCTCCAGCTTATTGGATGGCCAGGCAGGTGTGCAAAAGAAGATCAGGCATTTCTGAGAGACTGAAGATGGAGCAAAACAGTCTCAGTTTTTAAGGACACATTTCAGGGGTGAGTAAGCAGTAGAGAGTTTATTAGTCATGTGGAAGAGAATGACAGGAGGAGCATCCTTTCTCTGTCATCTCTGACCTAACCAAAACTTTCTGGGTTGGAGACCTGTGAGAGGTAGACAAACTGCAAATGGTCCAGTAGGCTCATCACCCTTACCTACGCCACCGGCGTCGCCCCCTTGTTCTGTCCCTGCTCCTCTCCACGTGCATGCACATGTACGCGGGTACCTCGATCTGGGGACGGGTCTCGGAAGCCTGATGATCTGCCCAGATATAGTAAAAGGAGAACTGCTTCCTGGCTTCTAGGAAAATGTTTACAGTCAGTGAATGGAGGATCAGGGACGTCAAAGAGGGAACTGTGGGGCCACGCCAGGTAGGATGGACAATTTGCGAGGACGGAATTTGGGGAGTTTTAGAATGTGTATATGGGAGAATATCTTCGATTAATATGTACCATGCCGTGCTCTGGGGAGTATGGGTGGAAATCAGAACTCGGGCCAAATTTAAAAGCCACCGACTATTAAAGCGAAACCATGCACAAGAGTCTACCCGACGAGTGTAAGGGTCTGGGGGGGCAGTGCAATTAAGGATGTGATTTAGGAGGCGCAGCCAAATGGGGGAACAGCGAGGATCAGATACATCATGGAGGGATACCCCTAGTCCCCACCTAGGTCCTTTACAGAAAGGACACTCGTATGAGGGGTGCTGGGGAAAGAGCCGGGACAGAAAGAAAAGGAGGTCTGGGCCTAAAAAACGTTCTCCAAGGCGACGAGCGAAGGTGGCTGTAGCGGGACACAGGGACCTGTGACTAAGATGGACAGTCATAGTGGAAAGAGAAAGTGGTTCGAGAGAGCACCATGTACCCGCCTCAAAAGAGATGGGGGATTCTCCCCTCTCTATATCACGTAAAGTGTCCCCTGCGACTTTAGGCTTACAGTCACCCTAGTGGTTTTTAACTGGCCAACACAGTCCTGGTAATTTTGGGGGAGCCTTTTCAGCAGCTCAAAGACTATAGAAATGAAAGCAAAGGACAACACACTCACCCTTCAGCATTTTCAGAGTTCCACAGAACTCACCCAACAGCTTCTGGGTTCCCAGAAAGCTCACCAGAGTAGTGCAGTAAGAAGAGCTGCCAGCACTTAAAAAAGCCTGAGAGGAGAGAAAGGTGAAGCCAGGTGAGGTTTTTAGAGGAGAGTTCAAAGGAAGGAGACTCTGTTCTCTACCATGTTGGGCTATAGGTGGTACATGAACTCCTCAAGAAGTCTTCAGCAGCTCCCTAGGGTAGCCTAGGCCAGTTGCGTCATGTGCTTCAAGGATCACGCAAGGTCCTCCAGAGAACAGAGGGAGAAAATGTAGGGTTAAAAGAGAGAGATTTGACTGATAGCAGTGAATCAGAATCACAGCCCTGATGGATCAGGTTTAGGGAGAAGGCCTGGGGTCTGAGGAAACAATTCAACCTCAAGAACAGTTCTGAAAAGCAAGAGATTTACTGACAGGTAGGAAGATGGGCAGGAAAGCTCTCTGAACAGAGAAGGGTCCTAGGTGGGTAGCTGCTGAGGGGGCAAGAAGCAGGTGCTTATATGGGTATAGTGGGCAAGAAGTGGGGGATTGGTCATGGGATGTTTCTGAGTTATGTCTCTTGCTGATGTCATGGGCCCATGTGCGGTCTCTTAAGCTACAAAGTCTACTGAGTTTGCCCACATTACTTGGCCTATCCTTCTGAAACTAGCCTTGGTATGTTGCCTGAGCATTGTGTTACTATGTGAGTGTTCTAAATATTCCGTTTTTAATAGACTTGTTGGGAGTGGGCACCTTCTTGGTCTGTGACTGTTTCTCAATCAGGCTGATGAATGCATTTGGGGGACCCTGCTCCTGACTGCCTGCCTATATCCATTTCCTAACCTCCACTTTCATGAGGATCTCATTTTGTGATACATCATTTTGCTTAAAATTGCATTTTCCAAAAACCTACTGAAGACATTAAGTGAGGACTTACTGTGTGTGGTCTTTCATATCACACTATATCCCAGAATGTACCCCAGTGAAGACAGGCAGCCAGATTTTGAGTTATCCACAGAGTACAGTGCCTTACAAACCTTAGAAAGAAAAAAAAAAACTAGTTAATTTGAATTCAGTGTTGTACAAGATGAATTAGGAAGATTCACTTCCCAAATTATGGTTAAAACAATTGTTAACAGATTGTTGAAAAAGTGTGCACGCCAAGAGTTCCTGTTTCATCTCTTATTTTCCTGGTAACCAAGTACTCAAGCACTAATGGTAACATTAATGGTTTTGATGACTGAATTTTAATTGTACTTTGATTTTGTGGAATGCATATTTTATTCTTATGATGCTTAATTTTTAATATTTTATGTTCTGCACATCACTTGAGGTGTTAAGGATTTTAACTGCTTTTAAATGACAGCATCTAAGTTATCTTTAATTTCTTTATGATGTACACTAGTTGGCTACATAATAGCCTAACTGGCATAGACAATGCTCATGGCTGATTAGAACTCCCTGATGAGCAATTGCATTGAGATTATAATGGGGAGCTCTGAACATCCCTGGGTCACACATTTCCTCTCTGCCAGGCCCATTAACCTGCTCAAATCTGTATTTCAAAAGAAACATCATTCTCTCATGTAATCCTCATGATCTTGCTCCTGAATTCTAGAAGCCAACATTCTGATTGCTCAACTAGGACTTCTCGGAAGGTCCAGACTGTGTCTTTTCCCATCACCAACGCACTTCTGACACCAGAGGGTCAGCTGGATCATGTAACCCAAATGGCAGGGTTACTGGCCCCACAGCTTATTACCTTTTCTAAGCTCTTTCCCATTCCAGGCCACACTCAGAACTGCCATATTTTCGTTAGTTGCTATGTGAAACAAAGCACTATTCATAGGTGTGGAATGTGTTTCCCCAGAAAACAAAGTGATCTAAAGGTACTGGCTTCCTTCTTTGTGGTAAGGATACAAGATGCAATCATCTGTCTTTTATTTTGGGTCTGGTGTCTAGACTGAAAACTGTACTAATGCCCCACACCCATGAATCTCACAGAGTTTATTTCCCATCATCTGAAAGTGTCTTGCGAGGTCTCCAGTGTGTTAGCCACGTCCTGTTTATCTTGCCCGATCAGGACAAAGTCTTTGATATGATGGATCCAGTGTTTATCTGCAAAGAGAACAAATGGTCCACATCTTCAGATGATGCCAGAAAGCAGAAGAGTTAACACAGCACTGACACACATTGAGAGCTTGCCTACTCCTCGTGAACACCAACTGTTTCTCATCCTTTCTCAAATGGGCTAGAGAAGAATGCACTGGACAAGTCCATGACCACTACCACTTGATTGAGTGCCAGTTGCCTACAGTTTCCTCCAAGATCAGTGGAGATGTGGTGGATTAAATGGAAATAGGGTTAAAAAGACCACCATTCCTGCATTCTTGAGATCCTAACGGGTGGCATCAAATGTTCTCCATCTCTCTTCCCCAAATACAAGATTGTTTTAGATGTACTATGTTAGTGGGAGAAGGGAGAGCTTCATAAATTTCCAATTACATTCCCCCAGTACTCCACCTGCCAAGGGGGAAATAATGACAAGATGTATTCATTGGAGCTAGGGGATCCTCTGTGAACCAGATTTTGGCCTGGACTCATTTATTACCTAATCTCCATCTGTCCCTATTGTCACATGGGCCATTAAGATCCTATTTCAAGTACCTAAGTATCAGTGTCCACTTAGATTCTTTGTCCTGTAGTTCTGAAAATATCTGGTTCATCTCTTTTCCCAACTATCTAGTTCTCTGAGTAAAAATACATAGATCCTTTTGGCGAATGACTAAGGAATTCATGACAATATATACTTTCCCTCTGGGATCTGCCCCCTCTTCTGGTTTGATGACATTCCAAAGGATTGAAACTTTTTATTAGGGCATCCATTCTCAGTTCTACATTCTTGTCTTCTTGTCATTTTCTGTATTTGGTAGATACATTAGTTACCCATCTCTTTTGCCCCTAGGGGAAGCTATATTCTCTAAATCATCTCACGTCTTCTGCTGGTCAAGTCCCCTTGCTGTCACTCAGGCCTTCTGCATTATGATAACTGAAGACCCTCCTGCCCCCACCCCCTCAGGCTTCTAATGGTTAAACATAGGTACATGACTAGAATATTAAATCCCACATCCTCAGAGATAGTGCCTTCCCCTCAGCAGTCAGCAGACACTCTCATCCTGTTTGTTTGAGCATCCTTGATAAAGACCTTTAAAATCCAACACACAGCCGTCCCTCGACTCCTGCTGATATGTGTTGGCTGTATCTTGTAGCTTTGGGGGTTATGATCTCTTGCTTTCCTTATCAGCCTCTTCATATCCAGAGCAACTTAGCCATAGTTATTGGCCTGGTAAGCAGGAAAAGTGGGTGCAAATCATGAGGGAGCCTCTGTTGCACTAGAGAAGAGGCTTCTCACTCTCTGAGTACTTTATACACAGTACATTTACTATGTGCTTTCTTTGTCACACACATCAATCAGGCAAATATCTGTAAGAGATATATGCCATTAGCTGTGTACAATGCAAGAAAATGATTTCCTTGGACATGCTCAAAAAAATATAATCGACAGCCACATTTAATCATGTCATAATTTGACCTGCTATTTTACCTCTGAAATTTCTAAAAGATGAAATTTCCTCACCTTATAAACTAGTTATAATAGGGGTTTTGCTCACTATTTCTCCCCACTCACATCCCACACACACACTCTCACTCACTCTGAGTCTCAACTTCACCCACCCCTGATCTTATCAGGAGCCTCTTTAGATCCTGTCCTGCTGGCTGCCTTCACAACACTGATACTGTCCATCACCCCTTCTTGTCTGAACTTTCTTTTTAATACTTAAAGAGCTCTTGCTTTCTTCTTCATTAAGTGCTTCATTGCAAAGTCTGAAAACCAGCTACCAGCGCTTACCAGGTTTCTGTACTTGAACTTCCTGTCTTACCAGTTATCCCTCCCAAGGATGGTCTCCTCCATTACCAGCCCCCCACCCCGTGTCTTTTCAAGACACCCCAGATCTCCTTCCTGGAGTCCTTTATTCCTAACTTGAGCATAAATAGATGGTGGCCCATTATCTCCCTCAACCCCAGCATTTCCAACACCAAAATCATGGTCTGCTGTTGCTCCATACCAGTCCCTGCTTTTGTATCCTCTGATGTGATATTGGCATCTCTACCCACCCAGCTCCCAAGCTTGACATCTCTGAGTCACCCTCAACTCCTCCCACTTCCACACCCCCGCATCCAGATGTCTGATTAATTCTGTTGGTTCCACATTCGAAATACCTCTCACATCCAAACTCTCCTTCCCCCACCCCCACCCCCACACTTCCACTGCTGGATTTCAGCTGCTTTATCATTCACCTTGACTGGTGCAGGAGCCTTTCCATTAAGCTTCCTAAAAAAAATTTTTTTCACACCCCCTTCTTCATTCAGCTCTGTCATTGGAGGAACACGCCTAAAGTCTGAGTTTTCATCTCTTTGCACAAGCTTCCCATAGCCTGCCCTCGCCAACCTTTCAAGACTCACAGTCCTACATGTACCATACAAGGCTGTTTTGTTTGGTCCTGGCTAAAACTTGTCTTCTCTGCTATGGGCTGAACTGTGTCACCCCTCCGCACCCCTATTCTTAGGCTGAACCCCTTTTCTCCAGTAGGTGGTATTTGGAGGTGGGACCTATGGGAAGCAGTTAGATTTAGATGAGGGCTGCAGGCTCTCAGCCCAGCCTGGCCATGGCAACTTCTGATCTTAGACTTCCAGCCTCCATGAGAAAACATACATCTATTGTCTAAACCTCTGGGCCGATGGTACTGTCATGGCAGCCCCAGCTGACTAAGACACCTCCTGTCCTAATGCTCACTTTTTCAAGCTAAGTTCTTGGTTTATGTGAACTCCCATCACACTAGACCAGTTCCAGCTTCTCATCCCAATGTTTTTTCCTACTTTAATATTATTTCTGTTCTTTACATTACAGTATCCCCAGTGCCTCTTACTCCCCATCAGCCTAGTTCAACTTCTATTCACCTTTTATGTATTGGTTGGTGTTCTCTACTGCAAATAAAGTGAGTGTGGCAGATTTAGACAAAGTGAGGTGGAAAACTGGGTGACAAGCAAAGTTCAGGGAGTGAACAGGACTGAGGAACCTGTACAGCCAGATCACAGTCACCATCAGAACACAGGAAGAGTGTGGTCAAGACCTGACGCTGAGTCCAGGGACTGTGGACCCCACAGCTGCCGCTGCCTCTCCAGGCCTCCACCAGCAAGTCCACTTTATCTGTTTGTGTCACTTGCTGGCACATCTGATCAGTTAAGCAGGGATCATGTGCCAGCCGCCTGCTTGCCAGGTGCTGAGGAAAGTGATATATACAACTCTCATGCAGACTTCGGTGGTGAGGCAGAGGACACCCTTCTCACAAAGCAAGCACACCGTGTGGGATTTCCTACTCACAAGAGATGGGTCCTCTTGTTCTTTGCTTTTGTGACTGAGATGAAGGTTCATGGATTTTTTGTAGGCCTTTTTATATTTTTAATTGAAATTAAGTTACTGGGCCTCCCTCATGGCACAGGCAGTTGAGCACTGCACTGTGAAGCTGTCCACAGCCTCTGCAGCACCAGTTTGATGCCCGCTGGCATCGGAGTGACCCACATGGCACAGCAGACCTCTTCTGTCTAGCCCGCTGCTCCCCGCAGCAGTATATTTCATCAGTCTGCCTGTTCTGCTCCCTGCTCTGTCTCTGGTGAATCCTCTCACCCTCCCACACATCTGGCCTGTACCCGGTTTCTTGTATAAATAAATAAATCTTTTTTTTTAAAAAAAGAAATTAATCTACTCATCATCAGTGGCACACTGAAGGTATAGTTGATACCAAAGCATATTTGATACCATAGCAAGCCATTTTTTAATTTCCTTTATATGGAAAACTTCTTAACAGTTATGTGGTAACAGTAATACTCATTATTTGATTCATTTTTGGTTTTAAAGTAAACAAAATATATTTTGATTATAAAGACTTAGAAATTCTGTGTTTTGATGTATGAACTAAAATTGTACTCACCCAACAAAAATATGTGCCTTGCATTTATATTATTTCAATGTAATGAAAGATCTCATTATTTCATTAAATTTCAGTCTCAGTAATCACATAGCTTATCAGAACTGAGATAACTCAAGTTCTCTTCCTCTTTACAATTGCATGCTCTCGTGTTTTTTCACCTCTCAAATCTGTTTAAATGTACCACAAGGGGCCTCGCAGGTGGGCGCAAAGGCTTTTAAGCTCCGCACTATGAAGTAATCTGCAGCCTCTGCAGCATGAGTTCGATCCCCGCCAGGGAGCTACCCACATGGTGCGGCAGGCCTTTCCTGTCTCACCCACTGCTCCCCTTGGCAGTGTTTTTCAGTCAGTCTGCCTATTCTGTTCCCCACATCTGTGGCCTGTTCCCTAGCTCTTGTATGCATAAATAAATAAATCTTAAAAAAATATAAATGTAACACAATTGAGGTCACAGACACTCTAACCAAAACTTGAATGATTCCCAGCCTCTACAGACTTATTCTCCTATGATTAGCTGAATTGCCTAGCTGAATCCACATGCTGGAAGATGAAATTGGATTCCTTTGTGTAATATTTATTAGAGATTATGTAACCAAAATGTGCTAATTTGAAACTTACATGGCTATTAACTCTCAGTAGCAATTATTTCAACTGAAACCAAGGTTCCATTTAACATGACATCATAACCTTGCAAACTGGGTGGCATAAAACGACAATTTACTAGATTCACTGATTCTGTAGGTCAAACATTTAGGAAAAAAAAAAAAAACATTCTGCACTTTCTTGTCTCTGCTCCGTAATTGTTTCTCATCTGAAATGGGAAGGGTGAAAGGCTGACCAAGGGTTTCCTGCTATCTGGGACCTGGAATCATGGAAGGGTTGTTCATGCACATGCCTGCCATCTGGGCTGGGAGGATATGAAGACGGGGCTACCTACAACTGATCTTTCATTATGTCTTGACTTCTTCACGGCATGGTGACTCCAGGTTTCCTACAAGACTCCCAAGCCATGTTCCAGTGTAGTAGGCAGAAGTTAGCCAGCTCTTATGAGTTCTGCTGCATTTTGTTGGT